AGTTTTGATGAGTTACTTAATTGCCACGTATACGTAAAATTAGTTGAAATTTATTATGTATACTTATTTTTAGTTTTTCTTAAATTTTAATTTTGGTCCGTCAGAAAGTCCAAAATAAGATTTGAACCAAGGTCAGAGCATACTGATTCTAAATGTCAAGGCCGTCCAAAATCGGTCCATGCATTAGGGCACAAAACGCAAAAAACGAGTTAAGCACATGTACGGAAAGAAGAAAAAATAACGAATTTTTTCGTATATAAATCAAAATTTTCTTTGTACAGTGAAAGTAATAATAAATTATCAAACGTTTCCAATTACATTGGGTTTTACGGAAGAATTAAACTTCAAACGCGATTATCTCAGTTCGATATCCCTAAAAATGCAACTTTTGCGTTTACATCGTATTATTTAATAAACGGAAGCCTATATCAAAAAGTTTTACTCTTAAAAAAAGTTTCGCTTATCGTTTATCTTTACATTGCACTGAGAATTATAATTTTACGTGCAATAGTAACCAAAATATGTAATTAAAAGTAAAACAACGAACTTTTTACTCACTTACAAACGAAGCGCTTTCGCTCCGGTGAATACAATCCATCTCTACATTTCCCGTAGCTCCATTTCGCTCTTACTCATAGGTACGTTCTCGACACGGGTATACCAAAGCTTTGCCAATATAATTGATACAGATAATTATTAATTACATAAATCAATGAATGTGAAACTCAAAAAGAGACCAAACCATAATTTTAAGAAACATAAAAAAAATTGTAGATACAGAACATCGCCTTATACTTACAACCCCAGGTAACTTTTTAAATGTGTCATACTAAATGATATGCACTTAATAACAAAACAATAATACCCTAAACTAACACGTAGCAGTAATGTGATTTCTTTTCCTAGGTAAGTGCATTAAAAGAATGACAAATAGAAAAAATTTGATTCCATTTATTTACAACCTTTTCGTCAACTGAGCATTCAGAATCGCCGTGCTCTTAGATGTGATGTCAGTAGAATTTTGCACGATCTTTGGACCATGCTGGGGCATAACTTTCCCTTTATACATTCAGTGAGAATTTAGAACAGTTAAATTGTTAGGAATTGGCCGCAATGTGATGAAAATGGGCAAAAGTTCGCTTTTTCTACTAATATAAGTACTATTCATTGTGGGGGGGCAATTTTGGACAGGGTGCCATATTTTGATTTAAAAACACACCCTTAAACAGTGAGTATTCTGTTGGTGGCAACTTATGGCTAACTTTTGTCCATTTTCATCACATTGCGGCCAATTCCTAACAATTTAACTGTTCTAAATTCTCACTGAATGTATAAAGGGTAAGTTATGCCCCAGCATGGTCCAAAGATCGTGCAAAATTCTACTGACATCACATCTAAGAGCACGGCGATTCTGAATGCTCAGTTGACGAAAAGGTTGTAAATAAATGGAATCAAATTTTTTCTATTTGTCATTCTTTTAATGCACTTACCTAGGAAAAGAAATCACATTACTGCTACGTGTTAGTTTAGGGTATTATTGTTTTGTTATTAAGTGCATATCATTTAGTATGACACATTTAAAAAGTTACCTGGGGTTGTAAGTATAAGGCGATGTTCTGTATCTACAATTTTTTTTATGTTTCTTAAAATTATGGTTTGGTCTCTTTTTGAGTTTCACATTCATTGATTTATGTAATTAATAATTATCTGTATCAATTATATTGGCAAAGCTTTGGTATACCCGTGTCGAGAACGTACCTATGAGTAAGAGCGAAATGGAGCTACGGGAAATGTAGAGATGGATTGTATTCACCGGAGCGAAAGCGCTTCGTTTGTAAGTGAGTAAAAAGTTCGTTGTTTTACTTTTAATTACATATTTTGGTTACTATTGCACATAAAATTATAATTCTCAGTGCAATGTAAAGATAAACGATGAGCGAAACTTTTTTTAAGAGTAAAACTTTTTGATATAGACTTCCGTTTATTAAATAATACGATGTAAACGCAAAAGTTGCTCAAAATTTGTCAAATTTTTAGGGATATCGAACTGAGATAATCGCGTTTGAAGTTTAATTCTTCCGTAAGACCCAATGTAATTGGAAACGTTTGATAATTTATTATTGCTTTCACTGTACAAAGAAAATTTTGATTTATATACCAAAAAATTCGTTATTTTTTCGTCTTTCCGTACATGTGCTTAACTCGTTTTTCGCGTTTTGTGCCCTAATGCATGGACCGATTTTGGACGGCCTTGACATTTAGAATCAGTACATGATGACCTTTCATTTTTTGTGAATTTCAGCTTGTGACACCAAAACCCCCACGGAAGTCATTTCTAGACGACTTTCTTTGCAACGAGCACTCTACTATGTTAAAGTCACAAACTTTCGGCGTGATCGGCTGCATCGTTCAAGCAACGCAAATTTTCGTCGTTTTTGTCGCTGCAAATCATCGCCTTCGTCGTTTAATCAACCAACAATCTACGTTATCGCTGCCGCAAAAAGGAACCAACGGGCTCTTGTCGCCATCGCTTATCGCTTTCGTTTGCTTAAAAAGCCTTCGTATATGAAGACCCACTTCAAGACAATAAGTTTCTATTGTTCGCTCCGTATTCACGCCGAAGATGTTTAGAATCAACTTACTTTATTTGTATTTTTAATCAATAAACACGTTAATTAGTGTCGATATCCTTCTTATACAAAAGCATAGCAAGCAATTATGGTCCACAAAAAATATCGAGGTTTCGCTTTACATGCAACACCCAGAGAATGTTGAAGGTGGCAAAGCACAATTTTGAGCGGGGACTAGATCCTGCGTGTCCTTTTAAGCTCGTGCTGTTCTCTAACTTTTTGTGGCGTTTCGAAAGTGGAACCGTTTTTAGGTGCGCGATGGTGTTTACAGAATTACGCGCAAAGCACACAAAAATGCTAATTTATCTTATTCAATGATTTTGTTAAACAATGTTTACATAACTAAAGTGCCCCATTCGAATTATTCTCATACAGAGTTGTGTAATTCAATTTAAGAACATGGCAAATATGTATATGTCCTTTAAGTATTAAGTCAAAGGTAGGGAGTTGACAATTTGCTTTGCTTTAATAATATTCTCCATCCATTAGAAAAACTAATGCTGGGACAACAAAGAATAAAGTAAAACGCCAAATAATTAAATCTTTTAAACTAAGAAGCAGAATGATATCATCTTGGTCCTTCTCCATTATAATTATAACTTATTTATTGGCGTCGCGACGTATAATAAATTTATCTTAGGATCGTACTTCAAAAGAGCGAAGTTTGTAATTAAAAGTTTGCGTCTCTCGGGGCTGCTAATTTATTCGAGTGAGAAGAATCTATTATCATATCATACACAAGCTCGAGCTTTGAGCTCTTCTCTATCGCGCAATTCACTCCGAACAACCCCCCTTAGCTAAATGTAAACTTATTCCGCAGAGACAAAAATAACGTTTCCACTCAATTTGCATACGTAATAATTTTTTAAGATATAATCGGACTGTGCATTCGACAGAAACAAGGATATACTTTTTTTGCGAGAAAAAGGCGACGAAGTATAATGCGAAGATACACCTGCAGGAATATTTAATTACACGCAAGTGGATGGGCGCACGTGAGAATTCATTAAGCAAGTAACAAGTTTGGTGTTATAAAAGAAATGAAAAAATGATGACCATTAAAAGGGGATTTTCAAGGTTCTCCGAAAGAATTAAAATGAGTTTTGTTAAATTTAAATCGGATTAAAGGTAACAATTCAGTTCAGTTAGAGCTTCTAAGCCCTTAAAACAAACAAATTCTTGCATAATGTCGTCCTACCTAGATTTAGGAATGTATGATACATAGCATAGTTAAAATGTGCCTGCGATTAATATAGAGTCTAGGCGCCACTTAGTGGATCAATATACTGCACAAAAAATGTAATGAGACTGTACATGTTCGAAAAAGCTAGTGTGATCATTTTTTCGAAATAAAGCACTGAGGCGAAGGACCAAGTTTGGTTCCATAACTTTTCTCCCGATTTTCGAATGGGAAAAAGTTCAATATGGTGACCAATCACACAATGAGCAATCAGTGCACAACACACTTGAACAACATAGGGGAAGGCTTCCGGATGAACAAGAGGACGGACGGACGGACAGACAATATGACCTCATAAAGTAGAGGTAGGTAAGCTTAATAATATAAGCATGCCGCATTTGCGGAGAGTTGTTTAAGTTGTGGTGATTCTAAGAACACATGAAATTTTGAGGTGAGGAGGAAGACAAAGTGGTGAGTTCTTGACACAGTTGCGGTATGTTTTGCAAGAACGATGTAGGTATATAATAGGACACTAGGAAACGGATGACGTCTTCATCTTCGTGAAACGGTCGACTCAATTCACGAATTCTTACAGGAACTGAAGATGAAATTTCTATGAAATTTGATATAAGCTGGTAGCGAGTGAATAGAGGACTCCGGGTCTCACTTGGCAACTGACCTCT